CCTTATTCACCCATAAAACAAACTGGGTAACACCACAATAGCCTTGGTTATAGGACCCATGTTTAGATAAGGGCCTGCAAATGGGAGAAATATTGCCATGACAACGTGCCACCCAAATCAGGGTAAGCTGGACCACATGGTGTCACTTAACGAGGTTTCTATAGCAGCACACAAAAATTAGGTCACTCAAGAACTGTTATTCCTCTGTCACCCTTTTTTTATTAATGTTCTCATGCCTCACGTTGGGTGCCAAAATCTGTCTTGGTTTGAAAAGACAGGTGTCTGCTAAAGAAGGCAGGAGCCTTCCTTGAAATGGAAAATGTAAACCCCCTCTCTCTGAATTAATATAATTTTGAAATTAAAAGGCTCTCAGATAAAGATATAGGCATAACAGTTCTTTACTGAGAATTAAAAATACAAATGTAATAGTACAAACCAACAAACAAAAAAATATTGACTGCATTAGAATACAATCAGACACCCTGTGGGTCAGGGTGTTGGTAGCAGTCCTACAAAATGGTGGCTGCAGTCCTCCGGAATGACAGGTGTGCTTCTGTTGAAGCAGTGATCTTGTAGAAGGGTGTAGATTTCCTCTGAAAGTCCACTGGTGGTGTAGATAGGCCTGGTCTTCCTCTGGGAATCTGCTGGAGAAGAAAGCTGCTCCTCTGGGAAACCACTGGGAAAAGGCTGTGTCTATTGCTCTAAACCTCAGGTTATATCTAGGTAGGAATGCTTGGCTCCTCTGAGTGGAGCATCTCATAATGGGATGAAGTAATTTTATCAGTGACACTCAATGGCCCATTAACAGAAAATATTTCCTGGAGGGAGGATTGGTTGTGAAAAGATAAAGTAAACTGCTTAATTAAGAGAGGATAAGTCCACCTTTAATAGATGGTAATGGAAAACACACTCAGCTAAACCTGAGATAACATTTCTGCCCCCAGTGGCCCCATTCCCATTCATGCCTGAGATGAACTGCCCGACACGGGAGGAGAGAACCCGGATTTATTGCCCCAAGCAGGATTTATAGCCCCAAGCAGGATAATTTCACACCAGAACTGAAGCATTGGGAATATTTGTGGTTCTTGGCTTTAAAACACTGGAAAACGGGAAACTGATCCGTTAGCAAGGGCTGTGGAGTGGGTCAGAGGTGCAGGATGAGCTCTGCTGGCAGCTCTCAGCTTTCCCATGAAAAGGGAAGGGGCCGGATCCAGCTCCATGGATTGCTCAGGCGGTGATTCCTGCCAGGATGAGAGAGGGTCACGGTGTCACCCTGTCCCTGTCCCCATTCCACAGGATAGACCTGGCTGAAGCCCATGGAGAGGAGGAGCTGCTCCAGAATCCCACCTGATCCTGCCTCAATCCTGTTCCATCCATCCCACCTGACCCTCCTCCATGCATTCCACCCAATCCTGCACTGGAATCCCTCCCTGATCCCACTCCATCCCTTCTGTCCCAATCCTGCTCCATCCATCCCAACTGATCCCTCTCTAGAATCCAGCCCCAATCCCACTCTACAATTCCACTTGATCCCACTCTGGACCCCGCTCTGATCCAGAATCCCTCCCTGATCCCAGTCCATCCATCCTGCCCTGATCCCCCTCTGGAATCCCACCTCGATCCTGCTCCATACCTGTGCTCGAGCTGTTGGTTCCCACATCCCTTCCTGCAGAAAGAGAAGATCCATGAGATTCCAGCACGGATCACACACAGGGATTAACCCCAAGATCCATCCTGGGATCCGTGCAGAGCCAGACCACTGGAACTCACCGGCTGCCGGGTTGTGTCCATTCCTGTCCCTCCTCCCTGTGGAAACAAAGTGGGATCAGCGTCGGTGGCACAGGATTCCCAGAATGGCACCAGGTGGATCTGTGCCCCTTCCCGACCCCCATCCTGTGTGTTACCAGATTGGAGCCTCCAGACAGTGAATCCGATGAGGACCGTGAGGATGAGGATGGCAGCGACGACGGACACAGCGACCACCACGGTGAGATTCCCGCCAGATGTCGGCTCTGGGAAACACGGGATAGTGAGGAGGGGGAGAGGAATACCCATTTGGGAATTCCAAATTCCCAATTCCCACACTCCCAGCCTCACCCCAAGCGAAGATCCCGGGCTCCAGCATTCCAGGATGCTCCACCCTGCACCGGTACAGCTCCCGCTCCTCCGGCAGCGCCTCGATCCTGGCCCAGGTGTGGAAGGTGCCGTCGCTGTTGGGAACGATCCCGCCCCACTCCGGCCCCTGATCCAAGGTATCATCCCCCTTCATCCAGCTGACTGCGATGGTGCTGGGGTAGAATCCGTACGCGTGGCAGGACAGGATCAGCGTCCCGTGTTCCTCTTTTCCAGACACATGGACATCAGGGGGCTCTGGAATGGGATAATGGTGGAATTCACGCATAGAGTTCCATGGGAATGGGACTGGGGTGAGATCTGACCACGGAATTCCCATTGGAATAGGATGAGAGTGAGCTCTACCCATGGAATTCCTACTGGAATGGGATGAGAGTGAGATCTGCCCATGGAATTCCACGGGAATGAGATGGGGTTGAAATCTGACTATGGAATTCCATGGGAATGGGATGAGAGTGAGCTCTACCCATGGAATTCCCACTGGAATGGGATGAGAGTGAGATGTACGCATGGAATTCCCACAGGAGTTACTGTGTTCCCAAGCTCTCCATTCCCAAATCCCAAATTCCCATTGGAATTCCCATGGAATTCCCACTGGAATTACGGTGTTCCCAAGTCCTCCATTCCCAAATCCCAAATTCCCATTGGAATTCCCATGGAATTCCCACTGGAATGGGATGAGGGCGAGATCTACCCATGGAATTCCCACTGGAATTACGGTGTTCCCAAGTTCTCCATTCCCAAATCCCAAATTCCCACAGGAATTCTGCTCCCACCTTTGCGCTCCAGCTCCCTCTGCCCGTATCCGACGTATTTCTGGAGCCATTCTGGGCATTCGTGCTTCACATGGAGCCCCAGAATCTGATGGAGACCCACAGGGCCTCATCCCAGCCCCTTGGAACCCTGTGGATCCACATCCCAACCCCATGGATCCAAATCCCAGCCCCACAGATCCCATACCAGCCCCACAGATCACAAGCTATTCCATCCCAGCATAATGGATCCCCATTTCAGCCCCTCAGAGCCCTGTGAATCCACACCTGAGACCTACAGATCCCATCCCAGCCCCGTGGATCCTCGCCCCAGACCTACAGATCCCATTCCAGCCCCACAGATCCCATCCCACCCTATGGATCCCCTTCCTAACCCCATGGATCCCCATCTTAACTCTGTAGTTCCCACCCCAGCCCCACAGATCCTATCCCAGTTGCATGGACCAAATCCCAGCCTCACAGATCAGATTCCAGCCCCACGGATCCACATCCCAGCCTGTGGATCACAGAATATCCCATCCCAGCCTAACAGATCCCCATTTCATCCCCTTGGAGCCCTGTGAATGCACACCTGAGTCCAACAGTTCCAATTCCAGCCTAATGGATCCTCACCCCAGCCCTACAGTTCCCATCCCCGGCCCCCAGATCCCATCCTCACCCCATGGATCAAAAGTTATCCCATCCCAGCCTAATGAATTCTCATTTCAGCCCCTTGGAACCCTGTGAGTCCACACCTGGGACTTAAAGATCCCATCCCAGCCCCACAGATCCACATCCCAACCCCATGGATCCCAACCTGTCCCCACACATCCAATCCCAAGCCAATGGATCAAAAGATATCCCATTCCAACCTAATGGATCCCTGTTCCAGCTCCTTGGAACCCTGTGAATGCACACCTGAGACCTACAGTTCCCATCCCAAACCTATGGATACTCACCCCAGCCCTACAGATCCCATTCCAGCCCTACAAATGCCATTCCAGCCCCACAGATCCCATCCCAGCCCCATAGATCCACATCCAAACCTGTGGATCACAGAATATCCCATCCCAGACTAACAGATCCCCATTTCAGCCCCTTGGAGCACTGTGAATCCACTTTGGAGACCTATAGATCCCATCCCAGCCCCACAGATCCCATTCCAGCCCCATGGATCCACATCCCAACCCCACGGATCCAAACCTGTCCCCTACAGATCCTATTCCAGCCCTACAGATGCCATTCCAGCCCCACAGATCCCATCCCAGCCCCATGGATCCACATCCAAACCTGTGGATCACAGAATATCCCATCCCAGCCTAACAGATCCCCATTTCAGCCCCTTGGAGCACTGTGAATCCACTTTGGAGACCTATAGATCCCATCCCAGCCCTGTGGATAACAAGCTCTCCCATCCCAACCTAATGGATCCTCATTTTCAGCACCCTGGAGCCCTGTGAATGCACACCTGAGACCTACAGATCCCATCCCAGCCCTGTGGATAACAAGCTCTCCCATCCCAACCTAATGGATCCTCATTTTCAGCACCCTGGAGCCCTGTGAATGCACACCTGAGACCTACAGATCCCATCCCAGCCCCACAGATCCTATCCTAGCCCATGGATCATAAGGTATTCCATCCCAGCCTAACAGACCATCATTTCAGCCCCTTGGAGCCCTGTGAATCCACAGTGGAGACCTACAGTTCCTATTCCAGCCCCACAGTTCCCATCCCAGCCCCATGGATACACATCCCAACCCCATGGATCCCAACCCTTCCCCACAGATCCCATCCCAGCCCCTTGGATCACAAGATATTCTATCCCAACCTAATGGATTCCCATTTTAGCCCCTTGGAGCCCTGTGAATGCACACCTGAGACCTACAGATCCCATCCCAGCCCTACAGTTCCCATTCCAGCCCCCCAGCTCCCCCCACTCACCCCCGCTCTGGTTGTACCGCTCCCGCAGTATCTCCAGGTCCCTGGCATCCACGTGCTGGCTCCTCACATCGCGCTGGGTCTGCCCCTCCCAATATTCCGGCTTGACTCCATCCTTTACCCACTGCGTCAGCGGCTCCCTCCGGCCCCGCTCGCTGTCGTAGCGCACGAAGGGGATGCCATCCACGAACCCCATGAGCAGGTACTTGGGGACCCCCGGGCTGGGCTCTGACACCGCCACAGACAGGTAACGCAGGGAGTGGAGAACTGGGGGGACACGGAGATTTGGGGGGGTTGAGGGGGTCATGGATCAATGAAAGGGGAACTGGGAGAGCTGGGAAGGGGTTGGGGGATCCTGGGGCCAAGGAAAGGGCGTGCAGGGTGGGAGAGGTGGGATGGACAGGAAAGGGCCTGCAGGGGGTCCTGGTGTCCAGGAATGGGGGCTCGGGGGGTTCCAGGGTTATGGAAGGTACAGGGACTGGGAAAGGGGGGATGGAGGTTCCAGGGGATCCCTGTGCCCAGGAAAGAGGGTCCCGGGGTGGGCTGGGAGAGGCGGGCGGGTCCCCGGGGACGCACTTTGGAGACGCGAAAGCGAGACGGGGAAAAGGGAAACTCCAGGGAATTCAGCTGGATCCCTCTGGATCCCTGCTGCAACCCCCCTGGGACCCTGTTTTGTGAAGCGACAGGAGTGGAAAATGGGGGAGACATGGAAAGTTGGGAGATCTGGGGGGTCCAAAGGTCTGGGAAATGAGGGATGCCCAAAAAGGGGGGGGCAGGGGGTCCCGGAGCACTGATGGGGGTTCGGGGAGATCCCAGTCCCGGATAAAGGGGTGCAGAGGGGTCCCAGTGCCCAGGAATGGGGGTTCAGGGGGGCACCCATGGCACAATTTGGGGGTTAAAGAGATCCTGACACCCAGGAATGGGAGATCCGGTGGGTCCCAGTGCCAGATTAGGGGGTGCAGGGGTGTCCCTGGAACGTTCCAGGAAATGAACGTTCACGGGGTCCCCGTGTTCAGAAATGGGGGTTCAGGGGGGTTTCCCTACACAGGGATGGGGGTTCAGGGGATTCTTTTCCCAGAATTCGGGGTTCAAGTGAGTGCCAGTGCCCGGAAATGGGGTTCTGGGGGTCCCGGTGCTGGGGAAGGGGGTACAGGGGGGTC